GAATAAATTTCTTTCTTTTTTTTAAATTTAGCAGAGTTTATTTGAGGAAAAGACAATTCATGAATCACACAGGGCCCTGAACCAGTAGTGCTTCAGCGAGCTCCACTCAGCAATGTGGACAGGAAATATTTATTAAATTTCTTGAGTAATAATAATTTTCGTAGAAAATAAAGAAAAGGCTAGGTAGATGAAGACATCAATGATGAAAAGAATTGACAGAGAAATAGGAAATATGAACTAGGTTTTGAAATATGGGTTTTAAATGAGTTGTGTTTATCCTTTAGTAGGTCTTTCAGGAATCCACACATATGCACTCAAACTTATCCTATATTTAGGTTTCACATAATAATTAGACTGCCACACAGGAAACAAAGTATTTGGAAGACTTTCTTCAGTCGAAAATGGGAAGTGGGGTTCTGTTCAAGGTAAGATGTAATAAGTAAACTCTATCTTATCTTTCCCACTGACTACAACTATAAAACCTCGACAGCATGGATAAAGCAGCTATTTGAGGACTCTGAAAAGTAAACAGCAGTGGGCACATTGAGGAAGAAGGCTAAAATTTGAAGTATCATTGAACCAGCAGTGAGTTTATGACTTTTTTCCTTCTATATTCCCTTGTTTGAATTCAACTTAGCTTGGAACCTGAAAGTGGTCATTGTGTGGACAGAGAACTACAGAAGAAGTCCTATGGAACAGGAAAGAGGATTCCTAATGCTTGGAGGAAGTATAGAAGTCCAATATTTTTTCCTTCTGTCATAAGCCAGCCCCTGGACAATTTCATAATGGTTGTGGCAAAAGCTAATAACACAAGGGGAATAGAGGAAGGGAAACATTTCTTTCTGATTGGTGGAATTGTAATCCCAAGAGGGTAGGAGCCAACTCCCGTTGTATTTATTCTTTTCTTTGTCTTCCTGCCACTTGGCCCTGGACATGGGTGCAGTTGCACAAGTATATCACAGAATAGGTAACAAAAGCCCCAGCTTTTTGGCCAGGGCACAAAAAAAAGGAGCCCCAGCAAACCTCAAAGTATGGGGGAGATTATAGAGATGGCGAAGTTTGAGAAAGCAACCCTGCGAAATAGTTCATGAACCCCTGAGCTCATTCACAAAGCTGTGCATGTATGGATCTGATCCTAATCAGCATACCAAAGATGTTGAAAACTGAAACAACAGGGAGACCAACACGCAGATCATACTAATCATTGGGTGGTGCACAAATATAAAAATCATACAAAGTATGTTCTCAGACCGAAATAAAATTAAACTAGAAATTAATAACAAAGGATAATTGGAAAATCTCTGAATACCTGGAAACCAAACAACACATTTCTAAATAATCCATGGGGAAATCTCAAGGAGTATCAGAATATAATTTGAACTAAATGAAAATGAAAAAACATTAAAAAATATTAAAAAATTTGTGTGATGCAGTTAAAGTAGTGTTAGAGGGAAATTTATAGCATTAAATGCTTATATTAACAAAAGAAGAGTGAGCTTTGGTCAGTAATCTAAGTACCTTAACAAACCATAATATAAAGAGAAAGCAAGATAAACCCAAAGCAAGCAGAAGGAAGAAAAGAGAAATAGGAAGTTAAGGGCAGAAATCAATTAAATTGTATATAGAAAAACAATAGATAAAAATCAGTGAAACCAAAAGCTTCTTCTGTGAAAAAGATCAGTAAAATTGATAAACCTCTAGCAATTCTGACAAAAAAACAAAGAGAAGACATAAATTACTAAAGTCAGGGATGAAAAAGGGGTATCACTGCAGACTGTGCAAATATCAAAAGGACAATAAATGAATACTATAAACAACTCTATTCACATAAATTTAACAACTTAAATGAAATAGATGAATTCCACAAAACCCACCAATTACCAACACTCACCTAGGGTGAAAGAGATAACTTGAATAGTCCTATCATTATTAAAGAAATTGAATTTGTTAAAATTGATTTGTTAAAAATCTTTCAAATAAGAAATCTCCAGGCTCAGATGGTCTCATTGGTAAATTCTACCAAACATCCAAAGAAGAAATAGTACCAAGGATATACAATTTCTTCCAGAAAACAGAAGGGACACTTCCAGCTCATTCTTATGAGGCCAACATTATCCTCACATTAATTTAAAGACATTAGAAGAAGAGAAAACTACATACAAATCACCCTCATGAACACAGACAAAAATCCTCAAGAAAATATTAGTTAATCAAAATCTAGCAACATATAAAATGAATAATACACCATGACCAAGGAATGGAAGGCTGGTCACTGGAGATGTGTGGGATTAGGCAAAGAGTTAGACATGATATCAAAAGCATAACGCATAAAAGAAAAAATGGGAGATTAGACTTCATCAAAATGAAAACTATTGCTTTGTGAAAGACACTGTTAAGAGAATGAAAGATAATCTATAGACTGGGAGAAAATATTTGCAAATCAAACACTTACAAAGTGTTATTTTGGAGACTAAATACCCGTGATTGCTATATCATTTCAAAACAATTGTGAAATAATTCTGGGCTCACCCATTTGTCACCAAGACTCCAGTTGGCACCAAATCCCTGTTGAGAGCTTCCAATGACCAACGATACAAGTTTTGAGATGACTTCTTATTTGTTAAGTCATGGACTAAAATAATACCTAAAATAATCAGAGAAAATAATATCACTACTAAAATAATTTCTGTTCATTTCACAATTGGCAAAGTGAAGTTTAGTAAGTACAACTATTCGGTTGCTCAATGAATCTAGCATTCTAGTATGACTAGCAAACTCAGAAACAATTATTTAAAAATTTCCTCTAAAAATACTCATAGACAATTAACTATGAAACTTTCCTTGTCAGTTAT